GACTACTAACAGCGTGCGTCAACTCCGGTCTCGTCGAAAAGGGAAAGGAGTTTTTCAAGGAGATGATTGAAAGTTATAGCTGCCAACCAAGTCAAGAACATTATGCTTGTATGGTTAATCTCTTAGGGAGAGCTGGGCTTATCAATGAAGCTGGAGAACTTGTAAGAAACATGCCGATCAAACCCGACGCTCGAGTTTGGGGTCCATTGTTGAGTGCTTGTAAGTTGCATCCTGGGTCTAAGCTTGCGGAGTTTGCGGCCGAGAAGCTCATCGATATGGAGCCGAAAAACGCAGGGAATTACATATTGCTTTCAAACATATATGCTGCTGCAGGTAAATGGGATGGAGTGGCTAAAATGAGAAGTTTCCTTAGGGATAAAGGGCTGAAGAAGACCCCTGGTTGTAGTTGGCTGGAGATCAATGGCCGTGTAGCCGAGTTTCGTGTTGCTGATCGAACTCATCCGAGAGCCGAAGATATCTATGCCATTCTGGGAAACCTTGAACTTGATATCAAAGAGGCTAAAGAAATGAGTCCAGAAAAACTGGGTACTCTTCTGTAACACTTCTGCATCCATTTTTTTTATAAGTGTTAAGAATTGAGAAATACCAATCGAGTATCACAACAACCACTTTCAGCAGCTTCCGAACCATCGCCATTACTTCCGAACCTTAAACAACCACTACTAGTCCACAAGTCACAAATTACAGTCCCCGACTAGTCCATACATCACCGCAAGTCGCAAGTCGCAAGTCTATGAGCCTAGCATTAACAACCACAACTTCCTGCTTTCAACAGCTTTCAAACCATTGCCATTGCTTCCGAACCTTAAGCAATCACTACTAATCCTCAAGTCACAAATTATAGTCCCCGACTAGTCCATACATCACCATCACCACAAGTCGCAGCCTAGCATTACCAGGCTTAAATCCATTTATTCTATTGTATCATGATGTTCTACAAAGTTGATTATATTAATGTAAATGATCTCATTTCATCAGTATTGGTATTATTATTTAATTTCAAGCAGTTGCATAGTTGATTATCAACTCCATATCCTAGAGAATGGGAAATAGCTACTCAACTCCAAACTCGAAAACTCGAAAAAGTTACTAATCAAGTCGCCTATGGTGGCATGCTTGAGCTACAAGTACCCGAAAGCGTGCGTGGAATTGACAATGACATTGTGTCTATACTAAAATTAAGGTTAAATTATAAGTTTAGTACCTAAATTTTCATGTTTTTGTCTGATCATTGTCTTTGAAATATAAAAAATGTTAAATTAATAAAAATACCTATAAATTTTGTAGTTTGTTTCAAAAAAGAAAAATCTCTAAACTTTAAATTTTTTTTAATAATACTCTTAAATTAAAAAAAAGTTAAAAAAATATAATTATCATTAGTTTAAGATTGAAACGGTCAGTATTTTATTTTTAAAATGTTATTGAATTTTAAGAAGTATTTATCTTAGAAAATATTTATGGTTAGTATTATGTTTAAATAGTTAACATATGGATGAAAACAATTATTTAATTTGCTTCTATTTAATAAAAGGGTTGGGACAAATTCAAATAAAACCCCCCAAAATTTGACAATTTTGTGATTGGGACCTAATACCAAATGGTGATGTAATTGTATTATTGTATGAGGGGCAAATAATAATTATTCCATTTTATGTGACTAATTAATTAACTCCGAGTCCTCATTGCAAAATAATTCAAATAAAAACTTAGTAAGTGTAGCACGTGCAGGGCACTTTACTTTTACATACAAAATGTAGCACGTAACTTGAGTATTTTAGAAATACTTAGTAATCCCACAGTTAAAGTTAGGTAGTATAAACAAATGATAATACCTATCCTTCAAAACAACGTAGCATGACCGTGAGCTCTTTCCAGTTTTGGGCAGGGTTGGTGTGTGGTCCTTCTCCACAAATAGCCCACGCACGTGCATATGAACCTACCAGGCAGGCTCATATATGTACCCTCTAGGCCTGGCTTGATCGGGCTTAATGCGTTAACGTGTTGCCGAATGCCACAGAATGAAAAGCACGCATGATATCACAGTGAAGAAAAATATCGAAGGTATGCGTCCATACAAACATATGGGGAAGTATCACGATGCATATGATATACGTAAATGCATAAAGTTCTCATGATTTAAAATCATAGCATAACATCAAAATCATTTCCTATCCATGACATAGTACATATATGCGTAATGTATACATAGTAATCATCATAGCTATATCATCACATGATTCATTACATAGCTTTACATGACAAAACGTAGCATGACATGCATAGTGTTTTATTTCATTCATATCATGGCATAATGAATATCACATACATAACATGACATCATACGTTATTACATAGCATAACATTATGGCACAGTAGAGGCCATGGACATGTGTATCATATACATTAGAAAATTCTTCCAACTCCAACCTATGGTCACTTATTTGTTTGGCATTGACTGAAGTCTCTGACTATTTTATAGATAGGCTGAGACTGTCCTCGAGCGTTTAACTCAACCTATACGTACCCATATCACCTTCTTAGGACATATTATTAAACTTAGTTTAGCTAAACATAGCAACTATTCTAATTCCCTCTCTTGGGTCGAATGTGTTAGTGGCCGTCTTGGTTTGATGAGTATTGGGCTGTCAAAATCAACAGTTGGGTCATACTTCGACCCATGGACTTTGTCGTCTCAACCCGAATATTCAAGAGTGTCACAAAGTTCTTTCCCTCTCTTCTTAGATCTTTACTTTGAAGGCCTCACACTCGATTTCGGCCACCACTTGCTTACCCTTCGCTCACACAACATCACTGTATGCCCCCATCGTGTTATCATCACTGATTTTCTTACCAAATTCAGTATTTTCAATGTGTAAATGTTGTAGATCAAAGTGTAAAAAACTTTTGGATGGTTTGAGAGAAGGCGTGGCGAGGTTTTGTAGAGTACGTAGGCGGTTGAATCCTTAAAATCAGCCGGAGGTATCATGCATCATACAACGTAGTCACCCCACCATAACAAAATCAAGCATATCATACATACATACATATGCTATATATAAATTGATTCCCTTATCCATTTGGTCAAACGTTGGGAGTGCATAATGTCCAAAATCAGGCATGCCTTATCGAGAGTATCGATATCATATATCTGTATTCATTAAATGAGACTGAGACAGAGACAGAGACAAAAGACATTGACTTATTTTGTCTTCCAGGAACCAAGAAAGAAAAAAAGACATAATTTTTTGTCTGTAATTTTTGTGGGTTTTGGAGGGGAAGGGTTTGTTTTGTTTGGTGTAGAGAGAGAAATGGAGGGAGGCTTCCATGGAGGCACTACTGATGGCTCGGCTTTCAGACAATGCTTTTCTTTGGTCTGGAAAAATCCTTATGTTCTTGTCTTGCATTCTCTGCTGGAATTGGTGGCCTTCTTTTTGGTTATGACACTGGTAATCTTCTTCTTTTTGTTTGTACTTGCTGAGAGTTGCCAGAGAAATGTGTGTTAAAGAGGACGCTAGGCTCTGAGGGAGGTGAATTGTGAGAGGAGAGTGTCACGAGTGTCAGCGAGGACGCTAGGCCCTGAAAGAAGTGAATTGTGAGATCCCACATCGATTGGAAAAGAGTGTCAACGAGGGCTTCGAAGGAGTGAATTGTGCACGCTAGGCCTCGAAGGGGGTGAATTATGATATCCTAGATTGATTGGAGAAGAGAACAAATACCAGTGAGGACGCTGGACCCTAAAGAGAATGGATTGTAAGATCTCGCATCGGTTGGAGAGGGAAACGAAACATTTTTAAAAGGGTGTGGAAATCTCTATTTATCATATGTGTTTTAGGGGGAGTCCGAAAGGAAAACATGTTCAATAGGATGATTTGGGATGGTGTTTGTGTTTGCAGGAGTGATTTCTGGAGCACTTCTTTACATAAGGGATGATTTCAAGTCGGTGGACAGAAGCACTGTTTTACAGGTTCTTAATTAATCTTATTTATTTATAGACAAAAATCATCCATTAAAGTAAGAATCAAATTCAGTTTACTCACCCAAAAAAAATTATTTTTTATTTTTAGTCGTCTCATTAAAAAATATTTTTGTGATAGGGCCGGTTCCTGATCAGAAATATAGTGAAATCACCTTTCTTATTCTTTCCCCGGACCCTACGACTAAGAAAGATGTTCTTAAAATATCCCATATACATAGGCGGGAACAGGGGAAGGGGTATTTGTGCAAATCGGTATAATCCATGTAATCGCAAAAATAATAAAAATAAAAAAATTTTCAATAATAACTATAAATATACAAAAGAACCATTTTTTTTGTAATTCCTATGATGCAATTGACGAGAAGAAATTTCTCTCCATTAGTAAAATATTTTCGTTCGGTTCCTTTTTATTATATAAATCTGTATTGTTTATGATCGGATAATTTATTTTTGAATTGCATATCAATATTTTGTCGTTTTGGGTGAGACAAATATTTCAACCATATTCCGTTCGTAATTGTCCTATTTTCATTTTTTATAACCTTAGTCCATCTTTGTCGAATGAATACATGTTACGTGTGAAATAAAATTCATAGTCTAAGTACTATTTTTTTATTATGTATTATTAAGTCCTAAATTTTTAGAAAATTTACTAATAAATAATAAATCATTTTAATTTTTTTTTTTTTAAATTCTATTGGTCTACGTGCCAATAATGAATTAAACTTGACATTATAATTTGAAGTAGTTCATGAAAAAAAAATTATGATTCTTGGAAAAAGAGAAATTTAGAACATAGGATTGCATAGATAGTGAAATTTGTATAGTTTTTGAAGTTTTAATTTAATTAAATTAAAAATAAAATAATACTATAGATTATTTTAAAATGACTAAATTTTTTAATAGTATATATATATACATATATATATATATATATATATATGAAGAGAGAAAAACTATGGGTTTGGAAAGTATAACCCATGAGGTTGATTTGTTTGAATCTAAATCAATAGCGTTTCCAATGAGTTAAATCTCGAACAACCCAACTCATCCAAATCAATGGATTTTCTAATGCATTAAACCTCGATCCACCCAAAGCTAAATCTATAGGTTTTCCAATGCATTAAATCTCGATCAACTCAACCCAGCCCTACCCTAATCCAAATCAAGGTTTTATTGTGCATTAAATCTCGATCCACCCATATACACTCAAATTCAAATCAGTAAGTTTTCCAATGCATTAAATCCGATTTGTTAGCTTTTCCTCATTTAGAAATGCAGCTGACCTCTTGGTGATGATGGTATTGACATGAAACAGGAAACCATAGTAAGCATGGCAATTGCAGGGGCCATAATAGGAGCCGCAATTGGCCTGCAATTGGAGGTTGGATGAACGACCGATATGGAAGGCGAACTGCAATTCTCATTGCAGATTTTCTCTTCTTCATTGGAGCTGTGGTCATGGCTGCTTCACCTGGCCCTTCCCTTCTCATTGTCGGTCAGGGTTTTCGTTGGCCTTGGTGTGGGAATGGCTTCCATGACCTCCCCTTTGTACATCTCTGAGGCTTCCCCTGCAAAAATCCGTGGTGCCCTTGTTAACAACTCTCCACAATTGTATGATATTGTCTACTTTAAACTCTCGTGGTTTTGCTTTGCGCTTCCCCTAAAGACCTCATTCCAATAGAGATGTATTCCTTACTTATAAACTCATGACCATTCCCTAAATTAGCCAATGTGGGACTCTCTCCGAACAATCCTCCCCTCGAACAAAGTATACTATAGAGCCCTCGAACAAAGTACACCCTTTGTTTGACCTTCAAGGCTAACAACTTCTTTGTTCGACATTTGAGGATTCTATTGACATGGCTAAGTTAAGGGCACGACTTTGATACCATGTTAAGAATCACGACTCTCCACAATGATATGATATTATTCATTTTGAGCATAAGATCTCATGGTTTTGCTTTGGGCATTCCCAAAATGCCTTATTAGTAGAGATGTATTCCTTACTTATAAACTCATGATCATTCCCTAAATTAGCCAATGTGGGACTCCATTCCAACCATCCTCAACGCACCATTATTCGTATTCCTTTGATTATCAAAGCCATTTCACAAGTCAGAACAAAGGGAAACTACTTTTGAGTAAGATGTATGCAAAAGATGAACCATTTCCTTCATACAACGGTGATGGATGAACTTATAAAGATATCTACAATGATGGATATAACTTTTTCTTTCATAAAGAGGAAACTAAAGACTAACGGATAGAGGGTACTCATGTAGGCACCGGGGACATGGCGGTGGATGCTCGGGGTTGCAGGTGTTCCAGCGCTCGTGCAGTTTCTCTTAATGCTATTTCTTCCAGAGTCACCTCGATGGTTATACCGCAAGGTGATAGTATGGCTTTTCCTCAAGTAGTTGGTCTTCATAAATATGGTAGTCTGAAGCTTTAAACATAGAAGATTTCTGGTTTGAACAGGGAAGGTCAGAAGAAGCTGAAAGGATTCTAAGAAAAATATACTCACCAAATGAAGTAGAGGCAGAGATTCAAGATCTCAAGGACTCCGTTGAAGCAGAGATCAAGGAAAAACAGTCTTCTGAGAAGATTAGTATGATCAAGCTATTGAAAACCAAAACGGTGAGAAGGGGACTTTATGCACGGGTTGGACTCCAGGTTTTCCAGCAATTTGTGGGTATAAATACAGTTATGTACTACAGTCCTTCTATAGTTCAATTGGCTGGCTTTGCATCTAATGAGACTGCACTCCTGCTTTCACTGGTCACTGCTGGGCTCAATGCATTGGGCTCCATTGTGAGCATATATTTTATTGATAGAACAGGGAGGAAAAAGCTTCTAGTCATCAGTTTATTTGGTGTCATAATTTCTCTTGGCCTTCTATCAGGAGTTTTTCATGAAACAACATCTCATTCTCCATTAGTGATCACCAAAACCACTCAACTCAACGCCTACACCTGCCCCGACTACAGTTTGGCCCGAAAAACTGCTTCTTGGGACTGTATGAAATGTTTGAAAGCCTCATCTCCAGATTGTGGTTTCTGTGCATCAGCAGCTAATAAGGTAAAAGCAAGCACTAATCTGATTGAGTAGAAAAAAAATACATGAGCTGCATAACATTTCCTGACACCCTTTTGTTGTTTGCAGCTATTTCCCGGCAAATGTTTGGTTTCTAACGACACAGTGAAGGATTTGTGCCTCGGTGAAGATAGACTGTGGTACACTAGGGGATGTCCTAGCAAATTTGGATGGCTTCCACTCATTGGTCTTGCTCTTTACATCATTTTCTTTTCTCCAGGAATGGGAACTGTGCCATGGATTGTTAATTCAGAGATTTATCCATTAAGGTATCGTGGAGTCTGTGGAGGAATAGCAGCCACTGCAAATTGGGTCTCGAACCTTGTTGTTGCTCAGTCCTTCTTATCCTTAACACAATCAATTGGGCCTTCCTGGACATTCCTAATATTCGGATTGATTTCAATAGTAGCACTTATGTTTGTCCTGATATGCGTGCCTGAAACGAAGGGCCTTCCGATTGAGGAGATTGAGCAGATGCTTGAGAACAGGGCTTTGCATTTGAAGTTCTGGGAGAAAAGGCCAGATACGTCCGAAAAAGGCCAAGGCGCCTGAAAAATCAGTGTAAAACTAAGTATTGTACAAAATTTTATACAAGCATACTTGGATTCTAAAGGCTTAAGGTTTACTTGTGTCAATAGACAATAATGTGTAAATACGAGTTATACTGATAAGACACCTATTATTATCATTCCTAAGTTCAATAGTTCGATCTCCCACCCTGTCATTCTCCTAACTGTGGTTTTGGAATTTGCAAATATTTGGATACCAAGAGAAAAGACAAATATCTAGAACATTTACAAGAACCGTCGACTTAAAATTAAATCATCGAACAATCCAAGTTTAGAAAATTTTAAAAAAGAAAAACAAGAAAAATTTTCAAACCAAAAACTAAATATCAAATGGTTATCAAATGGCCTAGATGTAGATAATTCAAAGATGGAGTTGGAAATATGTTTCAAGGAATCAGTTGGTATTTGCTCCTTTATGTGAATCGCATTGTAATCATTCCAGCTAGGAGCCAAAAACTCACACGAGCAGGGAAAAGAAAATACCAGAGGACAGAAATAGAAAGTACCTCAAAACCCAAGGAACAGCCAACGAAAATTGTATCCCCTGATCCCATCTCCTCAAGGAAAACAGAACCAAGCAGAAGGATGGGTGGGATGGAGATGCAAGCTTGAAATGAATGCCCAAATGTCTAACGGTGAGATCCTACATCAATTAGAGAGGGGAACGAAGTATTTCTTATAAAGATGTGAACACTCCTCCCTAACAAACACGTTTTGAAACCACAAGGCTGACGGCGATACGTAATGGGCCAAAGCGGACAATATCTGTTAGCAATGAGATTAAGTTATTACAAATGGTATCAGAGCCAATCACCAAGCGGTGTGCCAGCAAGGACGCTAGCTTGACCCCAAAGGAGGGTGGATTGTGAGATGCCACATCAGTTGGAGAGAAGAACGAAGCATTACTTATAAGGGTGTAGAAACCTCTCCCTAACATACGCGTTTTAAAACCGTGAGGCTAATGACGATACGTAATGGGCCAAAGCGGACAATATCTATTAGCAGCGGATTCGGACTATTACAAACTAACTCTATGCAAAAGCCCAACAAAATGTGCTGTGAAAAAATTACTGATAATATGACACCAAATAAACTGATGCCTACAAGTTTTCTCGTCTATCTTTGTCAATCGCTCACAGTAGAGGCCAGAGCATTGACCTCAACACTAGAGTCTATAACTAGTGAAAGCAGTGTAGTTCCATTAGATACTAAACTATAGTATAGTTGTAGTATACAACTACATTTAATGCCATTAACTGCAGAAGAAACTAAGCTCCAATCCCTAAAAGGAAATCCACTTCTCATAGCTTTGGTTTTCAATAACTTAATCAAACTAATCTTCTTAGTAAACCCTTCACCTTCCACGAAGTCCTTGAGATTAATCTTAGCCAAGACACCTGAAAAATGAATACAAACTAGACAATTGGTATCACCTAAACGGTAACATTTAAGAGAATCCCATTCACTTGAGTTTTGGATTGTTCATTAGGAAAGATAAGATCGCTTGATTTGCCAAATGGGAAACAAAATTGAAATAGAAACCTCGCCATTCAATTTCTCCATCTCGAAGTTTTTCATTCTTTAGTTTTCTACTCCAATCAACAATCACGTTGTCCGAATGAAATATTCGAAAAAAACGAAGTTAATGAAGATAATTCATATACGAGATTGGAAATATGTTCGAAGAAATGCGCTAGTACCTGCTTCTTTCTGTGAATTACATCGAAATGATTCTAACTGGGAGCCAACAACGCGCACTCACAGAGAAAGGAAATACCAGGAGAAAGAAAAGGAATGTACCATCGAAATCCGAAGAACACTGTACGAAGACTGTGTCCCTCGATCCCATTTCCATGGAGGAAAGAAGAATCGGCCAAAACAGTGATGGGGAAGAAGGTTAATGGAAGCTTCCGTTGATAAATTCCCTAAATTAAAATAAAAACATTTTTCTTTTTTTTTTTTCTCTAGATATTTGGTCTTTCTCTTTTGGGCTGAATTTCACTCAATCTCCTCCCAACCAATGTGGGACATCACAATCTATCTATGCTTTGTTCTTTAGGGCCCTCTTTGCTGACACACTACCTCATATCTACCCTCTTCGGAGAACGGCGAGAAACCTGACACATCGTTCGGTGTTTGGCTCTGATACCATTTGTAACGGCTCAAGTCCACCACTAGCAAATATTGTCCTCTTTAGGCTCTCTTTCGAGCTTCCCCTCAAGGCTTTAAAACACGTCTACTAGGGGAAGGTTTCCGCACCCTGTGTTTTGTTCTATTCGGCAACCAATGTGGGACATCATAGAACTAAGGCAAACAAGTGACTCTATTATCAGTCTGGTTGGAAGAATTTTTTTTATGTAGGAAGATACGTGCCCAAAGGCCTTACACGTGTCTTATATGTGCTATGTCTTATGATGTGATGTGTCGTTATATGATATGCTAAATGACATGACGGTACGAATGAAATGTTATGTTATATTATGATAAACTATGAATGTATGAGATGTCATGATGCACTATGATATGTTATGTTAAATCATAGTTTGTTATGAAATGTTTTGAAATAAGGAAAAGCTACAAAGTACAACCTCATGCCATGATTTGAAAGTTATGTGATGAATGAAATGATTTATGAAAGTTTATGTATGCATATTATCGAGTGTGATATGTGATGAAAGAATATGGGGTTATCCTGCCTGATCTATTACGCCACGATGAAAATATGGGAAGTTTATGTGCATTGAGATACTTTCCCTTTCTGATGACCATGGGCACGTTGAGACTAAAATGACACAACCCTTGACCCACGTGCAACCACCACAAAAACCCATAGCTGAAGTCCAAATGACCCAAAGTCCACGACCCACCTAACGCATGCAACCCAAAAATGCGACCCACGCATACCCGAGAGCACGACCTAACGTGCTTCGATGAGCTATGCGTGCTCCAGCCCCTACATGTGTGTGACATGTGGCTCATCCGGCTCGTTTGACTTGGCTTAACTCTGACTTGGGATTCGAATTTGGACATTGTTCCCTACATTTTGGACCCTCCGGAGTTGATTTTGACCTTATTTAAGGCAATTAAGGTTAGTATAAACTTCGGTTGTTAAATTTAAATAATTAAGTAAGTTGTAAGACTACTAAAAGAATTAGGAGGATATTTCTAATATAGGAGTACCTCCACCTGGGTTGACACGAACTTCGAATGACAAAAGCATGCAAAATTAGAGTTAGATAGAACGTGGGCTAAGACCAACCAAGTAAGTGGTCCTATTATCGGTTAGGTTTGAAGACTTGTCTTATGTATGATGATATGTGCCTAGTGGCCCTTGCATGTGTCATGTGTGTTGATATGATATTATAATATGCTATGATGATGCTATGATATTATGATGATGTGATTTGATATGATATTATTGTGTTACGATAATGCTATGATGTTATGATGCTATGATATAGTATGATGATATCTCATGTTACGATGATGTGCATGTATGAGATGACATATTGCATTACGATGAAGAGTTTTCAGATACACTCCCAAGTGATGTTATAAATGATGAATGTATGAAAGCTTATGCATGCATGTTATTTACAGTAATATGTGAATGTGTGAGTTTGTGTCACATGAATGATTTAAGATGAAAAGTATAAAGACCTCATGCATATTGTATGTTCATTTATGGTTGCTTACGTTAGGATACTTCCCCTTTTATGATGAGTACGGACGCGTACACTAGATGATGATCATCATCATGTCTTGCATGATATTCGAGAGTTTGTTGTACCTCCAGACATCCCACTACAATCAACTAGTCTAACCATGCAGACCCAAGGGGCGAGCCTGCTTGGTAGGCTCATGCTCGTACGTGTGGATCGTGTGTAGGAAAATACTATACATCCAATTTTGTCTGGACTGGAGGCCACCTCTATGATCGTTTTAAAGGATAGGTCCCTAATCATAATTGAATGTGTTTGCATTCTCTGACCCAAATAGTGGAGTCACTTTCTGA